CGCTTCCCCTTCTTCCTCCTCCGTCCTAATTCACTCAGGGAGAGACTAGACACAGATGAGTGTGTGTGACAATGGTGAAGGGGATACGATTTGGGGTTTGCAAGAGGAGGGGATAGAGATCATAAATAAAGGATGGGGAAGGAAAGAGAGGCGGTAAAAAAGGACAAATAAAGTCATAAAAGCATGCAACAGACACCCAGACCCTACAACTATAATTGGGTTTGTTACAAAAAATATCATGACCCACTATTTTTTTTATTCTCAATTATTATCTAAAGTAGTGATTCATTTTTATATACTTCATCTTACTTTAATTAAAAATGTTAGTTCAACCTCATTTTATGATCTAATAATTCAGATGTGTAATATACTTTTATCTTTTAATTGATAGTAAATATAAGAATATTCCCGTCTACTCATGATAATGCATCATTTCTCCGACTTATTAGAAAAATATTATAGGAGAGGATTGGATCCTTGCTTTTTCTACTTTCATTTACCCTGACAGTAATAATATGCTAATATGTCATATTATTTGAGTTCTAAATTTGGTCTATAACATTATTATTATCCTAATAAAAAAATCTTTTTCATTGAGTACAAACTTTTTACCTTTATAAAAAAACCCAAAATTTCATGATTGCATGACATGTATAGTGAGCATCACTGCAATGATGATGCGTCAGTAACATCATACTCATCCCCCACAATGTCAACGTCACGATCCGACTCGACTCGATTGGACCCTACCCTACATACCAAAAACCATTTGCACCGCTCAATTCCAAAAATTTGAAGCAGTATAGTATAGTATTCTGTATTCTATTCTATGAAGAAACAAACAATAAATGTGTTGCGTTAAAATGGGGGACCCTCTTTCTGTGCATAACATCATCTTCTACGCTCCCGGGGGATAACATCGAAGAAGCCAACCACAGACGGACAGAGATGAGGGCAAACATAGTAGGTCAGCGTTCATCTTAAAAGATTCAGGTGCTCTCAGAACCACTGACATTAACCTCGTGTTCCCATCTGATTCATATGTATTTCAAAATCTCGGTCAATTAAGTTGGAATGTTATTGGAATCAAATTTATTAAGTTTATTTGTACATTTAATTACTCTTTATTATTAAATTGACACTGAACTTCACCAAATTTATTGTAGTCATGGAATTTAACGTGGGACTTAGTAAATATGAAAACTTATTGTTAATCAAATGATTATAATGAAACCACATTATTACGTTAAATTTTTAAGTTTAATAACATCATTCATACATTCAGTCCTAATTGGATTTGGTTATTACCAAAAAAAATGTGTACCATCCTCCATACACATTGCGATTATTTTTACTTCATTTGTAAATGTTTATACCCACATAAAAAAATAATAAAATAATTACCACAATAATATTAAAAATATCTACAAATATAATAAAAATACCCATAACATGATAAATCACTCACAAAAGTAGGACTAATTTTTTTGTACCAAAGAAAAGTGATAAACATAATTACTTCAAATATGATAAAATTATTCACAAAAATAATAAATTTTTTAACCATAAAATAACCCATAAAAAATATAAAAACATCCTTCACAATAATAAATTTTGGATGTATAGAGCCAAATTTTTTTTTTAGTCAAGTCATAATGGTAGAGTGGGTGAATTAGAGGTGCTTAGTTTGACTACTTTCAAGTTCCGAGATCAATCAACTTTTGGGAAAGGAGTTCATTTAGTGCGAGCCTTTATTGTGAGTATCAGCTTTTTATTTCTTAGGCGCTTACACCAATGTTAAACAAAAGGAGGTGGTCCTCCTATAATTGCCATGGTTGATTAGCATTAGTTGGGCGCTACACCCTTTTTATCCCCAGGATAACAAACATTTTCCTAAGCGTTGAAAACAAATACTTTATTTTATAGTGAATTTTATTATTGAATGAATGTTCCTTGTAGTTGTGCAATAGCTAATGGCTTCGTTGCAATTGCAGGGTCTAAGATAGTTTCATTTATAATTAATTAAATCATTAGATATGTTTGTTAGTTGAAAGTATTTTCGAAGTTAAAAGATATCACACGCGTCTATATATAAAAACGATGGTTGTGCATCAACAATTCAAAAGATAAAAAGAACATTAGAGAAGTTTAGAGTTAAAATATATGAATTTAGTCGCAAAAGTCAAGAAAATAGTCGGCGTATGGTAATAACTTGATTTGACTTGGATGAACTAAACTAAACTTGAGATGCGGAAAAAATGAACCCTCTTTACGTAAAATTTCAAGGCCATCTCTTTTTCTTTGCTATGCATAGCTTTCAATCCATGCCGACATGGTTCTGGAGTATGAAAAACATGGCCAAATTCAAATGTGGTTGGGGTAGTTCAGCCATGCGTTGGACAAACCTAGATAATCAAACAACATATATTCTATCATATAAGGTTCTTCGCTTTCCATACCAATGAAACAAAAGAAAAGCTATCTAAAGAAAGCCAGCTGGCTAGTCCTTTTTTCTATTCAATTTACCATAAGAACTTGTACAGTCTTTGATCCAAACCCACCACTTGTTTTAGCGTTTAACTTCCATCACTCACTTAATACATCATTACAGGGTTTTGCATACAGTGACCAGGGTGTATGATTGCAAAAGAATGAAATAGGAAGAGGGCTGTTACGTGAACTTAAAAAATAAATTTAAAAATCAGATTTGATAATTACAATCATTGATTTCACTGTTGGTCCCAGTATTTATTGAGACTCATTACCTACTCAATAATTGAGATTATCAAGTCTAAATTTTAAGTCTATTTTTTAAATTCATTTTACATTACTCGGAAGAGGGATAGAGAGAAGCGGAGAGAGATGAGTTGGAGTGCAATTAAGTGTGATTGGAAAGCAAGTAATGAGTGGTCAAGAGGATGAAAGCACGAGTTTATCATTAATGCTATTAGAATATAATTCAAAGTCAATGTATTGTGATCATTGAAATTACAATAAAATACATTTAATGCTAAAACTCACTAATAATTTAAAGACCATAGTAATAATATACGTAATTATCGATCAATTACGCAATGACTTTTTGACATCTTGTTCCCATTTCAAGACAGTTGACCTACCCCCATAAACATTAAAGTCTGCCTTGATTTTTGCTAATCCTTGGCACTAGTCCGTTGTCGGCTGCCCTTTTTCGTTTAGCTTTCATTCATCTTTTGCATGTAACGTAGTGGCATGGCTAACCATTTTCTTGTTACGATGCTCCATTCTCCATGCTTTAATGGATCGAAACAATTCAGCGGTCCATCTGGTATTGTATTCGCAACCTTTTACCATTCATATAAAAACACGAATATTAAATGAATTTAATCATAGTTTAACCATTTTGAAAACATTTTGTGCTCACTTGGGCATATAACGTTAAAAAAAGGTGCAAGGAGTAGTTGAAAAGTGGCAAAGATGAACACCCTTTATGCTCAAGCTTTTTTATAACCAAAGTAAAGGTTGTTACTTGTTTGATTTTTGAGGAAAGAAGATTCTCTGTATATAAAAAACAAGCACAATCCTTCATTGAGTGTTATTGCTGCTATCAACTATTTAACACAAACCTAAGGAACACGACACCTTGTGTTTCGTTTCCATTTAGTATTAAATGAGACAACCTGATCAATAGGTGTTGGGAACTATGTACTGTTGATCTAAAGTATTAAATTTGAATAACTACTACTTCAGTATTAAGCTCAAATTCTGTGTAAACCAATTGAAGAAAAACATTGTATAGCTCAAGCATAAAGTTTATTTTCATATTGAAGGAGTAATTTGTTACAATTGTAAAACCACATCAGCACTGTTGGAACATGGCTCTGATACCACTTATTGATTTTGCATAGAGGATAATTAACACAAAAAACATTTGTTGGAAGATAGAAATTCAAAGATAGGAAAACAATAAAAATATAACACAAAAGTATAACGTGGTTCGATATAGCATACCTACCTTGGTATACCGTACCTACACCCACGGACCAAGAATCTACATCGTTGTATTATTCACTGAAATCTGGTGATCTGATAATTGATTACATAATACTCAACCCTATTTATAAGGCTAAAATATTGTAATGCAAACTTATTCAGATACGATCTTTATGTTTCCTAGTACATGTCTAACATACTTATTCATGTTATATTAAAACTCTTCCGATATAATCATATTCCATATAAGATTCTCACCCAACAAACTCTCCTTCATAACAATTAGAGAGTTTGAGTTAAATTACAACAAGCACCGATAAATGGTATCACAATCCAACAATTAATCATCGCATAAAACTGACAGAAGAAAACTACCTTAGCTAACAGAATCTAATAACTATTGAAATCACGATCAGGACGGAGCTGGAATAACCCGACTTATTTTGTATCGATGGAGTCCAAAAAAAGTACGCATGTATGAAAACATAATCTTCAAGCAAAACTTTTCTACGTAATGTGTTAAAAATTGTGCAATCCCCATGGTTGTCAACTTTTTAGAATCATGTTCATATTGAATCCCCATGGAAACTCTCGGCTACCTCTATAACTTATGTTACATGACTCCAACTCGGGCCCAGCCAAAAAAAAAAAGACGAATTTGATGATCATTTCCAAGAGCAGAGTTGCCACCAAGACGTATAGAACTGGTTTATCCTTGTCAAAATCAACTGAAGGTTAACTTAATAATGAGATTTTTTTTTTTTTAAATCAAAGGACAATTACAACACTTCTACTTGAAAGCAAAAGTGGCATAGTGTCCATATAACCCCCACACACACCCTAAGGCTGTCCGACGTGGGATAGCCCCTAATAATGAGATTGATATACATGTCTTTTTGAGAGCATATACTTCTTTTTGAGATTGATATACCCACTTAATTAATAATGGTCTTTGTGCCTCAATCACACGCCTTCTTGTAATTCGCCACGACACAAGCAGATAATTTTAGCAACTAGGACTCTACTTTATGGTGCGTGGACGTTCGGTTGATCCCGCAGCGATTGCAAGAACCAGAAAAGAAGATTCGGCAATGATCAAATCAGGACACTGGAGTTTATGTTTGATACAGATTTGAGGCCTGGACTCTGGACAAGAAGACAAACAGCCGGCTAACAAGCTAGTGCCTTCAGCCTCCGCCAGGTTGCAAAATAGAAGAGCTAGATCAAATTTAAAGCCGATTGAACAAGACTACATGCTGAAAATCAGCATGATACTCTCTGGCTTCCAGATTCAAGTCCTTTGAATAAAGAGAAACAATCATATGTTATCCTGATGCTGTCCTATTTGTTCATAAATATTACTAATTCATGATTGGAGTCTTACAAATAATTGTGTTCCCAGTTGCAGAGACGGATTTGATGGAAAGGCCTCGCGAAGCAAAAATCCAGAATATGATAACCAGGAGGCTATGTTGGAAACAAAAGTGAAGCCCAATCTTCCACTGAACACTTTTGAACATGAACCTGGTGTGCCTTCATCCAATGATGTTGATGAAATTGTTAAGTACCTTGAGGATCCAAATTGCTTTCTTAACGTCAACGCAGGTGGTTCAGGGATACAATTTGGAGTCTACTAGTCTTTTTTTGATATTTCGGGTTGTAGCTCAGAGAGGTGGGAATTATAGTCTTGACCATCGCTCAGAAAGTAAAGTGTCTTATGATCATACTATGTTAGGGTAGAAGAGGGTGGAAACAGGGTAGCACTCTAGCCATGGGAGTGAAAGAGTCTCATCCCCTTAATAGTCTCTCCAGATTAGCTTTTAAAGAATTTTGCCACCAGAAAATTGTTTAATACACACTGCCTATCAAAACCCACAAAATCATAACTACTAAATTCTGCATCAATTGCATTCTCCATTCACCATCCAGTTTCTTTACGTCTATCTGATATGACATGATAAACAACAAATAAATTGAAGAGCTCAATCAAGCCAGGACTCAAGAAAAATCTAGGAAGGAGCTGAGAGATGAAATGATGCAACAGAGTCCTTTTTCAAACAGCGTGGCTGCCTTTCTAATCAATTAAGACCAAGGTGGGATAGGAGTCTTAATTTGAGGTGAAATAAAGCATCCAAGAAACATAGAAGTGAAGTAGGGCAGAAAGAGTGAAATGATAGAGAGAGAAAAGAATCGAGGTATCTCACCCAAACTGATCAAACAGAATCACTCTTGTTGAAATCCCTAAAAACCAAACCAAATAACACCACAAGATGTATGGTATCACACCAAAAATTAGACTCCAAAATTGCTCTTAACTACGGAGTTAATGTTCATATTGACAGGATAGCAAAATGGACAATACTAAGGAACTTATGATTCCCACAGTGCTTCACGGTGATGAAACCAATTTGCTGACTAACAAGTGACAAGCTAACTAGCCATGCCTAAGGCCAATATTGCAAAGCAAAGTAACCTTCCTTTCTAGATATCGAAAGCAAAAATATAAAAATATCCTCCAACACTATCACTTTTACAAAATATAAAAACACGCAAACCTAAGAAGGATAAATACACATACAAGAATACAAAAAAATTCCAAAAAACATAGAACACTGGTATGACAAAGATACGGCTAATTAAAATAGTTTTATATATCTAATAACAATATTAATAATAACCAATAAAACCTAGCAAACAATATTTTTTTGATTATAATAGACGTAGATCAAAGATTCAAAATAAACATCCACCATTTTCATAAATCACATGGTTCTAAACATAAGTAGAAAACCCAATGCTTAAAATCAAGTATTTAATCTTATTTCAAAGCATGCAAACCAAAACCCTAGCTCGAGGAAAGCCAAAAGCAAACCTGAGTTTTCCTCCTCCTTTTTTCGTTTATGAACCAGCAGTCAGTTGATTGACTACTTGGCCTCTTCGTTCACCACTCTCAGTCAATCGAATGATAGAATGAGAAGACTCAGAAGAGAGAACCTCGTAGGTTTTGTTCTGTCCAAAAGAAACGACATCACCCCTTTCAAGTCTCTTTTTTATTTTTTTTTTCATTTCAACCCCGTAAAATTTTTTAAAATAACAAAAAAAAAAACCCGCCGCATCCTGTACATGTCCCTCCTGTATTCAACCCGTATTTGACTAAATTTTTTCTCTATTTAGGACACTTTTAGAAGTGTTAGACACACGCCCAGCCGTGTCCCACAAGTATCCATTCTTCCTAGAACCAAATTATCACCATTACAAGGTTTGTGATTGTGATAGTTTTTTAAAGGTGGTTTCTTTCATTTTCATGATTGGCAATAGACTTCCTCCATGTAAAGAAGATCTGGATGCATAACATCCCCTCAAAGCATGAAAAAAATGTTCCCAGTACATTTTCCCAATTGATAAGCCTCTCTTATCCAAAAGGCATGGGCAGTTGTGGCTCCACCCCACCATCATCCAAATAAAGTGAATATTGATCTTCTAAATGAGTTGTTCAGCACTTGAACGGAGTACGCTGATACTGAAGTTCTATGACATCTTCCATGGGATAATTAATAGCAATCTAACATACTTAAATTTTGGTCAAAGTTCATCTTTATCACTCTCATCATACAGTAATCAACCATAGACTTAACCAGAACCTTAAACCTCCTAGTATTAACTTTGTCATTCCCCCTCGACAAAAATAATAATTAATTTGTTATTTTTTGCTTTAGTTCTGCCAATTGATTATTCCATTACAGCATTCAAAAGGGAAGACAACATCAAGTTGTTATGCTAACATTCAAGTAACAAGGCTTTTATATAAGATCAGATCAATGATTTCATGTCACCTTGCATGGCATGTGTGTATATATTGTCAACAACCTTTAAGATTACAGACATAATAAAAGAAATGAACTACATTAACCTGATTCATGCATAAAACACTCTCATATCTCGGTCTTGACCTTCATATCTCCATTTGGTAATATGCTTTGTGATTGTGCGAGCCGTTTCGATTCCTACATTAGACTATAAGAATTAGCGCATACGATTAAAAAGCATAGACCAGCAACACAGAACAGGCAACAAAAGCCTCTTTCACAATTACCAAAAGACACCAAGACACATATCCATGCACCACCTAGATTTATCTATATTTATACTACTTTTAAATGTCAATAGAAATGCAAAATTTTTTATTACCAAAATTTCCCATAAAATACAAAAAGACAATTGCATCATTTCTAACATTTTTTTACTGGCCTATAAACAATAAGAGCTAGGGCTAGGGTTTACCACCCACTTGAATATGCTGGTTTTAAAATGCAATAACCCAAAGGATAGTGGTTTTAAAGTCATTCTCGGGAGTTACAACTAATCTCTTGGAAGTCTGTAATTAAGTTAAAGTATGATAAGTAAAACAGGAACAAAGGTTCTATATGTGGTGGTAGGCCTGTCAAACTTCGACACAACACGATTAACCGATACGAATCGACACGAATTAAGTTGATTTGGGTGAGACCTTAATGGGTTTGGGTGATAAATGGGTTAACCCACCAAACACGTTTAATAAACAGATCGTGTTCGAGTGAGACCTGTCAACTCGTTTATCACCCATTTACCCGTTTAAATAAAATTAATATAATAATAAATTAATAATTATTTTAAAAAAATAGCCATAATTTTTTTATTTTTAGTGACAACCACAAAAAATATATAAGCCATCTAAAATTGTTAGATTGTTAGTTTTATAAAGTTTATATATATAAAAGTTATTAAAAAAATATAACTTAAAAAATAAATTTTATACACAAATACATGATAAAATATTTAAATTTATTTCACTATTAATTCATTTTGAATACAACTCTTGCGAAGGCAGCAACACAGAGCCCTTTGGAATGCATTTTTTTGCCTTTACACTGTATCCCACATTGAATAGACATGAAATGCTGGTAGCATCTCATGTCTATAAATGGTTATAGTTTCCTATGCTCAAGCAATTCACGTGAGACTGTCTTAGCTCAGAAATCAAGATAATCACTTTTAGTGTTTTTTTGGTCAGCACTGTATAAAATTTTGGGCTTTTATCTTGGGCCAATGTTTAAATTTTGAGTTAAACAAGTTGTGTCATGTTACTCATTTATTTAACAGTTCGTGTTCATGTTAAAGTTTTTTACCCGTTTATTTAACGTGTCATATATGGGTTTATATGTTTTTAACCTGTTACCCGTTTAACCCGATATGTAACTGTTTAACCTGACACGATTGACACCCCTATGTGGCAGAATATGGTAATGGGATATTAAGCACTTGTATAAATGTCTAAAGAAGTTCTAAATAATAATTGAATTAAGTAATCTCCAATATTTCAGGATATATAGTTTTTCAGGCCGTGGAAAAGAGAAACTTTAGCCCAATACCTCGAGCTATGTTTACCAATCATAAACCAATTCCAATCCCGTGAGTTTGATTAGTCATACATAGCATACCATTTATGTCCTCCAATTTCATAAGCTTTTTAGCCTTACTTCTGCGATACACATTGAACTCATCCAGTTATACTTTGGTTTTTGAAAACTTCTCAAAAACAATTTTATCTTACTATGATTCATGATAATAGAACTGGGCAATGGATGATGTATAGAAAACAAACTCGATGACTCAACCCAAAACAAGACACTAAACATAGTTATATAGTTATTAAGCCGATGGTAACACCCAGCAATAGTAGTTCAAACTAATAAAATAATGAATGGATAAACTTATTGGAATATTTATCCTGGATGAATAATTGCGACATATGTATTAGTCAAATGCAACTCACAGCTGCAGATGTGGCACGTATTTCCCTGTAAGCTTCCACTTCATCAGGAAATGCCTGTTCAAGTTCCTCTAGAAGATGCCTTCGTAAACTCTGTACAGAAGATAGGCATGAAAATTATCATAACAGCTTAAGAAATTCACATAATTTCTCATTCCATAACAAATTTCATCTTTGCAGCACAAATAACAGTACTGGTACACAAAATACTTTGGTGTCAAACTTATAAACCAATATATAACTCTCAAAGGGAATAACCTAGCAGACACAGGGATAAGAAACCTAGGAGAGAGCTATAGCCATTACCTGGATTCAATTCTGCATACTGAAGCACGATCAACGAAGTAGAGGGATTTTTGTGTGTAAACAAATTGGAAAAGATTCTACCAGACAGCTTTGAAGCCCGTATTACGAAATAAGACCACAGTACTTGCACAATTAAGCTAAAGGTACACTAAACAGTTGAACAAAACTGTGCTCGATTTGAATTAGAAAATAATTCACACTTCAGACAAATTTAGGATAAGGATTAAGTGCAGGATGGACATGCACATGTGGGTGTGTATGGCAGTATGGGTGTTATTGATACACTGTAAAACAGAGTATAGTAAACCACGTTGTCGTCTAGAAAAACGCAGGTTCTGAAGATATTGTAAATTAAATTGGGTGTACAAAAGCAAACCTTGAATGCGTCAGTTTTGCCTTTGGTAATCTGATTCTTGGCAATGCAACTATTCAAGACATCCCTCGTGAATTCATCCGGATTCTTTCCATCATCAATCAAACTAAAGATTTATATAATACATCCATTATCAGAAATCAAAACCAAAAAGTCAATACATAAAAGAAGCAATAAATTTCATCACTTTAGTTTGGGGAAAAAGGGGACATACTTGAGGACCTCCATAGGGACCTGAATATTGCAGTTCTCAGCCAATTTCGTCATGTTGTCGAGCTCTAAAACAA